AATTATTTTGTTTCCGAGGAGGTAGACACATTATCATTAATATCCCCCCCAACCTATGTTCATTGTTATCTTAGGGAGGCAAAGGAGATGGGGAGTGAAGCCCAATATAGAGGATCACCCCTTCCTTGGACCTCAGCCCTCCCCGCAACTAATTTTGCATGGTCTTTTCTTCACCCCCTTTCCTTCTCTTCTATCCCTTCTGTTCACTTTCTAAGGTGTGAGAGCTAGGCTGAAATAATGAAAGGCTGGCTTTGTGTCAGTCCTGAATGTTATCAGGGAGGCATGGGCACTATTCCCTGGGTTAATCACCTAACCCTTACGCCTTATTGGGACCCGGAAGGTTGACTATTTCTCTTCCCTCTATATTTCAGGCTCACCATGGTCAGTAATTAATTTTTTTTTCTTACCCTTAACTAGGGTATTAAGTCTTGCCCCTACATCTAGTTAAATTTGAATTCTCTGGTTTCACTACCCCTGGCTATCCTTTGATTATGGGTCCAACCACTGAAGCTTGCTATCAAGCTGTCAACTCTATCCATTCCAAATCTTTCCCAATTTCCAATCAGGGGGGTTAGGGGGAAGCTTTTTACTGGGCGGTTATAATTTTCAAAGAGGTTTATATGCATGTAAACACATAGGATTAACTGTTTGAATCATCTTCATATAATAGGACAAAGCCTATTTTTATGCAAAGGAAAAAATTATTATTTACCTCATAGTTCTCTGTCATTTTCTTTCATAAATTTTGAAGATGGCCATTGGATATGGGGAACCTACATAAAGGCTGTTGTCACTCCTTTGCTCGCATTATCTTGATTGAATAAAAATCATCAGATACCAGAGTGGGGGGGGATTATATACGTATTTATGGTGACCACAGAAGCATCCACAGGTTTCATTTTAAGACCTATTTTCAAAATTCCATGTTTTAAATTAAGAGCAGGTGTCACATATTATCATATTCAGCATAAAATAATTGACATACCCCTTATTTTTCCAATATTGTAAAATCCACCTCTGATGTGCCCATAATATGGAAGTGCTCTTCACAGTGGAAACAACCAGTTTCAAATAAAAACAAAATTGACCATTAGAGTGAAGCCAAACTGAAATGTTGTCATCATTATTTATATTTTTATTTTCCAACACAAGTACCTTTTCCTTGGTACATATACAGACCCCTTTATAAGCTTCACCATATTACCAGGGAGTCTCATGTGTAAATTTGCACAAATTGCTTTTTTAACGAAAAGTTTACAAGCTGTCTTCATAAATCATTGTGATTTTCTTATTTGCTGATATTGGTATAAAAGTCTTCTTTGGACATTCACAAACACTCATCTGTGCGCAATGTCATTATCAAATGCTGCATTTTGCAACAAGCAAATGTCCATACAGGTGTACCTGCATATGTACCTGTTGACACTTATGCCCTTGCTTTATCTGTCGTTTGGTAGTTTCCTCACTTGCGTACGTATACCATTACCCAAATGACCTTTTGTCTGCCTCCCTTTACCCTTTTCACTACCATACTATCCAGTACTTCTTTACAACTTTTGATGTCTAATGCATTTTATCCTAATTGCTAACTCATTTTTACCCTTTTTGCCAAAATACTTTATCATAGTGATGTATGATCTGTGATGTCAATCACATTTATTTGCTTTAACCTTTAACTATTACCCATTATCAATATCATTATCTCATTCCCAGTGATTCTGTAAATCCCATATCTGCAAGAAGATTATACCATAAAAGACTGGTTTGTCATTGGAATAGTGAGCCACGCATTGTTTTCAAAATGTCCAATTCATTTTTTTAGTGCGCTTGTGTATTTACATGACTCTGATTTACATGTTGTTTTATCCGTAAAACTGACTTGGTGAATCAAAGTACTTCGGAGTACAGGGAGAGTTGCCACTTGTTTATTCTGGAGTTTGTAAGTGGTCTAGAGTATCTTAATTTCGTTCTTGTTATTACTTTTACCTTTATGATTAAGAATAAAAGAAAATTATTGTTATATTTCTTTATCATCATCACCATCATCAGTCATCATTACTATTATTACTATTCTTATTACTATACTACTTTTGCTATTATTATCAATATCATTATTATTATCATTGTTATTGTTATTGTTATTAAAATTATTATTCTTTATTATACTATTTTTAATTATTATATTATTATTATTATTATTATTATTATTATTATTATTATTATTATTATTATTATTATTATTATTATTATTATTATTATTATTATTATTATTATTATTATTATTATTATTATTATTATTATTATTATTATAGTTGTTGTTATGATGGATTTTATAATTATTGTTACTGTTTTTATTATTATTTGATAACTTATTACTAATACTATATTATTAGGATTTTGAGAATTATCCTTCTCATCTGATAATAATTATCTTCAATACCATTTGCCATTTGATGTGATTTTGATTTTCATGTTTATTTCTTGTCATTAGATTGATTGTTGTACATATTTATGCACGCACATGCACATACATGTACACACATGCACATGTACGTTCACATGTACACACACATGCACATCCACATTCTCATGTACACACATGCACATACATGCACATGTACACACATGCACATACATACACATGCACACACATGCATGTTCACTTGTATACACATACACATACATGCAATGCACACACATGCACACATCCACATACATGCATATCCCACATACACACATGCACTTGTAGATGCACATGCAGACACATGCACATACACATGCACTTGCAGATGTACATGCTCATGCATGCACATGTACATACACACATAGACATGTGCATATACATGCAGTTACATGCAGATACACATACAGATGCACATGCACATAGACATGCACATATACATGTAGATAGACATGCATATACTCATGCACTTGCAGATGCTCACGCATGCACATACATGCACAAACATGTTCCTATGCACATGCACACACATGCATATATATTCACATGCACATACACGCTCACATAGACATGCATATATACATGCTTTTGCACATGCACACACATTCACATATACATGCACATAAACATGTACTTGCAGGTGCACTTACACATGCACATACATGCACATGTATGTTCACATACATACACATGCAATGCACATGCACATGCACAAACATACACAAATATACACATGCACATGCACACATATGTACATACATACACATGCACATGAATGCACTTACATGCACGTTCACATGTACATGCACGCACATGCATGTACATACATGCACATATATGCATATGCAGATGCACACACATTCACATACATGCACATCCACACATATGCACATGCACACACATGCATGCTCACATGCATATGCACATGAACATGGCACATGCACATGCACACACATGCATGCACGCACATGAACACACATGCACATTTATGCACATGCACATGCACATACATGCACATGTGCACAAGTAGATGCACTTGCACATACATACACATGCACATGCACTTGCACATGCACATATACATGCACTTACACATGCACATTCACATGCAATTGCAGATCCACGTACACATGCGCATGCACTTGCACATACATACCCATGCACACATGTATATGCACACACATGCACACATATATATGCACACACATGTATATGCACACACATGCACACATGTATATGCACACTCATGCACATGCACATATGCACATGCACATACACATACACGCACATGCACTTGCACATGCACTTGCACATACATACACATGCACATGCACTTGCACATACTTACACATGCACATGCACTTGCACATACATACACATAAACATACACTTACACACGCACATACACATGCACTTGCACACACACATATACATGCACATGCACATGCACATACACATGCACTTGCACATCCACATCCACATGCACTTGCAAATGTGTATGCACATACATACACACATGCACTCTTCCCATCCCCTCTCTCTCTCTCTCTCTCTCTCTCTCTCTCTCTCTCTCTCTCTCTCTCTCTCTCTCTCTCTCTCTCTCTCTCTCT